TTTCATATATTTAGAAAAATACATATTAAAGATCTATTTACTTACAGATCGGTTGAAATTTTTGTGTTTTTTATTTGAACTTGCACTATAAGCCACTCTTTCAGTATCTTCCAGGAACCTGTAATCTGTAGCAAAAGAAACAATGCCCCAAGGGCTGATTCACACTAATGACATAATAAGAAACAAAAGAAGAAATTTTGTATGCCTTAAATGTGTGAACTGGGGAAACCATAACAACAGCACAAAATGTGAACCAACTTCTGTTTTTGCTTATGTCTTTATTTGAACTTGCCTTAAACAGCAAATCCTAGAAATCAGTATTCATTGACGCAACTTGACTGAGTGACATACTCACCACTGATCATGTTATTGTAGTTGTAGTCAGTTTTGGATACATACGTCGTTTTACAACGTATCCCATCACAATTATACGATTTTTTATGATGCTTGACACACTGCAAACTTTAATTTAAAATGTACGTAGATAAACCAAGCTTAAAAGTTAAAAATTGAGAATGGTAAAATGATTAATTAAAGTTAAAACAAGTCCCTACCTACATGTCCGCCTCATACAAGAAGGGCAACGATACTTGACTTCTTTACCACCACAGATTTCACACACGTCTTCTTTCTTTGTGTTTTCTTCACAGCTCATAGTGATAATATTGTCAAATATTTGAATAGAGAAAAATAAATTCTACACACGTGAATCGAACATAAAACTAGAAATAGCTAGGCGTTACTTCCAGTTCCGAAGATGCCTGGATCGCGAAAACTGGGTCTAGTACCAAGGAACGCCTGGTAGTTACTTGATATTGACTTAGCCTTTTTCCGAGAACTGAAAGCGAAATGCATTCCTGATGTTCGTTTGTTCTTTTGACTCAAGGGTAGTTCGTATGTAGCTTTGTTCACCTCTCTTTGAAAGGAAAACTTAGAAGTAGAGCCGGTAAGTTTAAGGGAAAWTGTTCGGTCATTTGTTTGACTTGCGGATCCYTGTCACCATCGCTGGTGCCATTTGTCACGTTCYAGATTTTTTTTGCGCATTTAAGCATAGAATGGCTTTAATCCTCTAATATACGGATATTGTAAGGTATCGTCAATGGCMATGTTGTTTTTATCGGTTGTGAATTGTTTTTGTTTTGAAAATATGCCTTAAAACAARAGAACAGTATTCATTTTGTAGTAAAACTAAAACATTCATATAAATATATATAACCTTATTGCTCAACCTTTTGTTTCAAACAATATTCTAATGGGAAAACCGCGTGATACCACATAAGTACTTTATTGACAAAATGTTCAGAAAAGCCTTTGCACCTTTTTGTCTGTATTTTTGTTAATACAACTTACACAAATTGTTTGTTATACCTTAGTGAATATTGTATATTAAGTAACATTTTTATTTTTATGTTCTGAATATTGTAGACATGTCCTATGAGATCTCCTTAAAATATGTGATTCTTGGAACGGTTRTGTTATTACAAAAACTGAGCGAAAGTACRACAGTAAATTGTGACRCCTACAAGGCAAATACAACTGTCCAAGGTAAGATATCAACCATGTGATAATGGTATGCTTATACAGTACTTTCTAGGTGGGGCATGTATGTTGCTGGGTGAGGCTAAAAGGAATGCAGATATCTATTATTCATTGAGGGATTTTRATTCATTGTATATTTGGTATTATTCAGCACTTGTCTATAATTATATTAAAGACTTACATATTTTTGACAAAAAATCATCATCTTTATTCTAAACCAATCAGATAGCAACTTTCATCAACAGATCATTTTCAAAACAAGGCAATCAATCACAAAGGATCTCAGATGCAAATTTCCAAGTCATGTTTACATTTTCCAAAAATTATAAAATAGAAAAAACAAGCAAATTATAAATAATAAAGAAACAGGAAAAACAACTCAAAAAGGAAAAAAAAAGGAAAAAAAGGGCCTGTCTTGATGACTCCATGTACTCAATCCTATTTGTTTTTCTTTTTTGTTTGTTTGCTTTTTTGTTGTTGTTGTTGTACTTTTTTTTTATACAAAATTCTTTGAATTTACAAAAAATTTCAAAAGTGGGGCATTTTACTAGTAGTAGCCCTTTAGCTTTATCCCTAGAACAACAAAGGACTGGAACTCTCTTCCAAACAAAAATTACTAGTGCTAAGTTTTTATCTCATCTTTTCAGGACCTTTGTGCCTCTTTTTTTAGGAATGATTAATTAATCATCATTAATTATTTATTATTATTTATATTATTTCTAATTAGGATATTTATATTTGTAACTTGATGTTTTAGATTAATTTTTTATATAATTTGAATATTTATATTTGTAAATGTATATCAGCTTGATGTGAAACGTTGCTGATTAATAAACATAGATGTAGATGTAGATGTTAATCACAAATCTATTTGGATTAAAGGTGTATAATTCTTTCAGGACCACCAGTTATGACTATGAAGGGTGACAAAGTAATATACAAAATGTGGCACACAGGAAATTCTGGCTATTTACATTGTTGTACATCTGGAAACCCTTCACCTACAATCACATGGTTTAAAGATGGTCATGAAATAGATTTATTGAACATCAGGCTAATTCTGAGAAGCAATAACCAAACACTATTAATCACACCATTAAAGCTAGCAGACTCTGGGATGTACTCCTGTCAGTCAACCAACAGATTTGGGAATGAATCTAGAAAATTTAATGTTGATGTGAAATGTGAGTAGCTAGATTATTTACTCATTCATATCCCAGTCAACCTTTCATTTATTCATCTATTTGCTCTCTATTTAATGGTCCTTGTTCCAGCAAACAAACACCCTGCCATGTCTCAAAGATGAATTCCAAGCCTCATGTGCTTTATAATCAGCAATTATGAATTTTCAYGTGCAACCCTAACAACCACAGACATCAACTCCATAAATAGTACATGTAAATTTATGATAAATAAATAATGTTCTCAGTGTCTGTAATTTTTTATAATGTCCAGATCATGGGTAAACATGACTTCTTAGTAGATGAAGCTTGTGAATCTCTCTCATTCCCCCCTTCATATAATTCATCATTTTTTTACATTGAATGGTTTGATGTTCAAATTAGTGTTAGCCGSCAATTCATATTGTTCTAAAATCTTCTTTATTGTTGTGTATTTTTSTTATTTATTTATTTTTGTATTATTTTGATAAATTTTAGCTAATCAAGTGTTTTGAAATAACTTAATTTTTTGTTTTGTTTTTKAAAAGCCTCTCTTKTGTTCCAAAAACCAGTGGTGATACTTAAGCCAGGTTCTTGGAGTGCTGTTGCTCATAGCAATGTAACTTTTCACTGTATCGTGAAAAAGAGTGCAAGGAAGCCRTTAGTATTATGGTACCTGAACAGTACATCGACTTCTCCACTGAATTTTCGAAGGCAWGGACAATACKTTGTATCAAAGACAAAACAGATGGATGAGGATCAAACATGGATGTCAAATTTRACCATAAAAAATGTAACTGTGAGTGATAGAGGAGTCTATATATGTGAAGCTAAAAATGGTGCTGGCTCTGGAAAGACACCTGAGGATAGTGGAGTACTTAYCATCCAAGGTAAACTGTTAAAAAGTTGTGAATATAATAAGCTCTAAGTGAATGAGTATCAGTATGTTAGCCTTTTTCATGTTTATGTGAGAATTAATTAATGTATTTGTATTTGTTGGGATGCAAGGCTCTCATTCAGAGAAGTTTACTTTGATTTAAACATWAGTTCTAACCATTGTTTAGAGCCTACAGAAAAGACATCTTTGAAAACTGAGCAAACAAAGACAACAACAGATCCAGCAGGGCCGTTAACTGTCGTCGTTACAGCTACAATTGTAACCTTGGYAWCAGCTGTTSTGATTATTGTGGCGATTCTTCTGTACAGAAAGAAGCATTCTCGTACTCCAGGAATCATACAAGATGGCAACCATCCAATGGGTATGTATATTGAAAATATTCTTGGATGACAACTGTATTAGTTTGTATTTTATCATCAACGTTTTCACTGACTATACYGTATGGTATTGTCCAAAATTCCAGTCAGAAGATAGAAATGCCAAACAACATATATCAATCAATTGTTAATTCCTAGTTTGCATCAGTGATGTAATATTCTTCTGTGAAATTTATTACATTTTCTTGTCTTCAGATCCATCTGCCGATAGATTAATTAATGTTGATGTGGGTATCCCRTTAGTGGGAAACTTTGACTGTAATGACAAAGTTGTTTTTGATGTTTTCATCTCATACTCAAGCCAAGATCGTGATTTTGTCAAAAACATTTTATTCGATGAACTATCAACAACACATAGTGTGTGCATTGACTTCAAGGACTTTGAAGCAGGCTTGTACATTGGAGATAATATATGGAACAGTATTTTCAGAAGTAAAAAGACACTATTAGTTGTCAGTAGAAACTTCCTCAGTGGAGTGTGGACACACTTTGAGATGCAGATTGCTCAAGGGAGACTGGCTCAAGGTCAAGATGTGTTGATCCCTGTGATTATAGAGAATATCGCTTTTGATGAGCTTCCAAAACCACTTCAATACTATCGTCAAACCAAGACGTACCTGGAATACTTTAACGAAGATGTGAGGCCACATTTCTGGAATCGTCTGAGAAGTACTTTAGGGCCAAGTCTTCGAGAATACCAGGATAACAGTCAACAGGCTGAAGTYGATGCTTCCAACAATGTTTAACATAAGTAAAATGAGATTAAGTTCAAGGAGATGTAGTGGATGAGGATGTAGTTGAGGGAGGATGTAGTAAGACAAGCAGAAGATTATGTTTAGTCCTTTTTTTACCAACCAGATACATTGACATTGTCCAAATGATTGTTAGATGCTCCTCTGCATCCTATTTAGTTTCCTTAAAGATATACTTTGCTACTGCCACTTTTTTTTTTTTACACTTTGCTTTTTGTTTTGTGGATTTTGTGGATTCATCGGTAGCATGAACATTTCATTTTGATTACTTGAGGTTTCTTTTGGATGTAGCTGAAGGAAGGTGTAGCTAACTGAAGTTCTTAGCTACTGAGTTAAAATAGTGATGTTGATTTATTTTAATAGCAGATTTTATTCATCCTTTCAGTTCAAGGATGATGTATCCAATAAAAATTATTTCACGTGAAACCAGCTGAAACAAAAAAWTGTWCATGGATTGCGCAGGAATTAGAAACTGTTGTGCAACACCAAATAYGTGACAAAGGTATCCATGGTTGTAATTAAGACTTCCTTTGGTGCTTGTAAATTCTTCTTTTAAATCATTGAAAGATTTACACTAGACCACTGTGATGTTTGCAAACTATGTCATTGACTCATTGATTATTTATTAATAGAAGAATTAAAAGAGAAAAGTAAATTCTGTATAGTTTCCTTGATWTTGTAACATTTAAATGCTGTATGTTTATGAAAACCTTCATGACATTTCTGTTGGAACTGAAAAATCATAGAAGGACTTCTTTTGAGRTGCAAATGCATAGYCTGGGTGCAGTGGAGCCACAACGTGGAAAATCTTGTTTAGCCTTGAATTTCATAAACAATGTTTTACCATCTTATTACAAATTAGCACTTTATTTCATCATTACGCACCCATAGACTGATAAGACTGAGGTTAATGCACAGAGGCGGTCATTCAAAAACGTCTTGTCTAGTGTTTTCAGGTCTGCTCAATGTGAGATGAAACATCTTTATTTGATCAATTGTTTCCATTAAAATAAATCTATAAACAAAATGTGATAGACTTGACGTCTAGACGTTTTGAATCGTTGTTAGGACTTGCAATACCGCAGTATGTTACAGCCTAACCTTGGATAATAGTTGCCACTAAATTAAATATGTGCACGTACAATCATTTCGATCTCTACCACATGACGTCATGTACATCCAACTACGTCACAAACATTAAAGTGACGTAGTGTTCAACTAAAACTTTGTGACGACATTTTAGATCATATGTCTTTTCCTAAATGGTTCAGTATTCGCTCCGTTTCTACGTACAAGTATCGTTCTGCAGCATCCAATATATATGTGTCACCGTCAGTATCCTTCCACTTCTCTTTAGCTGCTTCTCGACAACTCTTGTTTAACTGATATCGAAAGTGTGGTTTTTCATCCAAAAGGATGTGACGAAGTGTCGCAGCCACGCGTGATGAGTTCATCTTTTTAATGGAACCTTGACGCTTGAGTTTACCAGGCAACGAATCTTGAAACTTGATGGTGTCATCATCGGCGTTCTCCATCTTRGATCCGATGGACACTTCAAGTGTCTGGGCGGTTTGTTCTTCACCTTTTACCATACTCGTTTCAATAATGGAAGTACTAAAATAATAAAAACATATTATCATATACCATCCTGTACTAACGCACATCATAAATGCTGTCAAGGTTGGTTTTGAATGCTAGTTCAAGTTGTATTGAGACGCTCCGCAGCGAGGGGAAGTATAGGTATAGTAGTGATGGCCGTAACATGACAAAAAAGATCGTTAGAATGAGATGATCATTTATTTGCGATATGCAGTGCAGATTGAAGGTTGATATTGTGTATTGACAGTCAATACCCACACTGTGTGGGAGGACTTACTGTACGTTAAAAGCTAAGGCTTCTGGTGCGATGGATTCAAAGAAACCCTCAGCTGCAAACTTGCTTGCGCAATAAATATCATGGAAAGGTATCCCAAAAATCCCTGCTTGATTGGTTACAAGGACCAGATGTCCATCACGCTGTTTCTTCATGACAGGCAAAACACACTTGACTAACTCAATCACAGACATGGTGTTCGTCTCAAATACCACCCTGGCTTGGTCTACAGTATGAGTCTCGATTGGACCAGTAAGAAGCACGTTGGACGTTATCACTGTAAAGTAAAACACATTGCAGAACAAGTTATTAACGTTGACTTGACCGCCTGTGTTTAGTGTGAGTAAGGGAAGTGGCATGTTATTGGTGCTTTTTATGATGCTGCAGGGGCGTAGCAAGAACTGATTTTCTAGGGAGGGGGATTTAGGGGGGTAGGATCGGGGCACACATACATTTATTAATTTTCTCAGAATGTTTGGGGGGTCGCAATCTACGGTTTGCTAGTGATGTTTATTGAAAAAAGTCATTGGATGAGTCTGAGTCTGATACCAAGAATGATTTCCATCATATCATGCAGTAGTCTCCTCTCGCAGCCGTTACCAGGCGGATCTGGGAATGAACCTCGTAACGGCTGCGGGACTACCGCATGATGGTCGAAACCTAAGTATTTTTTCCGCATTTTGTTGATTATCACGATTTTTACAATAATATATGCTTTTTTATTTTGTTTTTATAAAATCTTATCAGCATTGAGGAAGTTTGAGAAAAAAGGCAACTGTTTTTGCATTCAGTTTCTCTACGCATTCTTCAAGGATCAATCGAGGTTACCACGAAATCAAACGATTCGCAAACACAATTGTCCGATTCATTCATCGTTTCTAATAAAAAAAAATACGCCAAAACAATTTCTCGTTAGTAATCCATGTGGTTCTCTTTGTCCATTCATTTCATTACGAATTTTAGTTTCCGTTTCAGTAGTTTTACGTGAAATTGATTGGCCACGAGTTTATAACCCATAGAGTTGATAACAGTCTCAGTTCAAGTTCTTTTAAAATTCCTGACATCAATTGCGATAACAGACGCTTATATCTCGTAACTCTACGCGAATGCGTCATTGTCTGTACCGAGTACGTGCTACTCTAATTTTATCTTTGCGAAAATAAGCTTGACAACAGACAGRTAAGAAATTCCACTTTGAGAGAAAACTCCACTCGTAGGGGGTGAGAGAGGACATCTATTGCAGCWAATGAATCAAAAGGATCAAATTTGATCCACGAACGGAAAAATAWACATAAAAGGGAAGTGCGATGAGAAATGAAGATTTCTATTTATACTTCAGCCTTATTTCCCAGGGAAGGTTGAGAAGAATTCCACATCTCAAAATGCCGTGAGTGATCTTTGCCCTGASTATGACTCAAAAATAAATATAAATTATTCGTTCATATCTAAAGAAATCAATAACTGACAGTTTTCAGTCAACGTGAAATGAATGACAAGCGTCAAGGAACACGACCAAATGCCGCGCGGCGGTCAAGCTGGTTTTCGCGTCACCAGATTATAAAATGCTTTRAATGCTAATCAAGGTTCTAAATAATTGATTTGTAGTCATAGAATTAATATGTTTATCTAACGAGTACTGAGTCTGGGAACTGAACAGTCAACATGTAGTACACGAATGGTTTTATAGGTCAYTTATAGGTTGAGTGCGTATACAATGTCAATATGCATACCTAAAGAATCAATGATGCCATCCGTCTCTAAGATTTCTCGCACTACACCACGTATTGAATCCTCACTGAATACATCCATTTGTAACACAAACAGCGTCTTGTTCAATAGATGAAGAACTCGAGAATCACCTAAATAGTCGCTACCCGTCAGTGATGGCATACATACGAGAGCTTTGAATCTACATTGTGGATCGTTCGCCAGAGGGAGCGCGAATTCTAGGTTTTGTCGATGAGATGTTCCTGTGAATAACACAATTTTAGTTGTAAAGTCTTCATCTGCAGCACTAGAATTCCTACCTCGAGTCGACAAAAGACGACTCTTAACAGCTCCCATTATAAATTTGAGGCAGTTACATTTGAACGGTAGATCAATACACCCTACTGCTTATCGTGATGTCACGAAATGTCACGTTGCTCTTCTARACATCGAGACCGCCCAGTAACGCAATACAAAGGGTAATAGCATATCAAAAATCTCGATTTCTAGAAAAAACCTTGTGATGGTTTTATTTGATCGCGCCCCAACCTCGAGCCAGTGAACATTTTTCCGATTCGCGTGTGTGATAGCCATGTACACGTAGCCAGGCGTTGATAGTGTGGAATGTAATCACTAATTCATCAATTTACTCCCATTTATAACATTATAAACTCCCGAGATGAAACTCATCATATCGCTTACTGAATAGACCACAAATATATAAATTCAAGTCCGTTCTAATTGCGTTTTGGATTCCAMGAAATTTTTCTATCATTAGAATGTTGAAATGTGTCAAAACTGAAGAGGTGCTAATAGTGCTATGAGGGAGGGGTARGAAGAGTTAAAATGTACACAACAAGAGTACAGTAAAAATCGGTTGTAGGGGAGAGGGCAAACATAGGACAAAATAAATTCATAATAACATAACTAACAACACATAATTGAATTCCTAACAAGAATATAATGATCTTTAATATTAACGTTTATGCATTACATATACATTGCAATTTAAGAACAATTTAAAAATTTAAAAACATAAACTCTTATAATTTTCTACTGTGACCATAAATTTTATCTCACACTACACATTATACCTTATAATAAACACCTGCCTTTTTCCTGTTGTGACTGTAAACTTCCTCTGGATAGTGCTTCAAATGATTTTATAATTTCTTAAATTTCTCCTGTAACGTCTTAGATTTACAATACAAAGGCATGTTTTTTCATCCTATGAAAAAAACCTCTGATACATGATATCTGCAGGTTTGTCTCCAGTGGGATCATGTAATTTATCAGCTACAGCAGTCGCCAATGTTTTACTCGTTTGGTATCGTAGGTGCGGGTTGTCTTCATGTAATACATCCATAATAAACTGTGCTATTTCATCAGGAGATTGACAGATATTTGGAAGAGCACTTCTTTGTTTTTCAATCACATTTTGTAATAGTTGCTTGGTTTCTTCATCAACGCCTTCAAAACCATCATCTGCCAAATCTATATCAAGCATTCTTGATGGAAAGGAAGTTGAAACTGGTCCAGATTCAATAATGGACAACCTGGACAAGAATCACACTGTCATACATGAAATGCACAAGAAATACTGATTCCTTTCTAGGTGACAACCTGTTTGTAAGAATGGCTGGATTGGTTTTCATAAAATGTTTGTATAGAAGAGAAACAATTGTTAAAAGATTCAAGTTATCGAAGGAAACAATGTGAACCCAACTAATATATTTTCTCACTTACTTAATATCAAATTTTTTGAGCAAAGGTGCTAAGGATTCTGACATCCCCTCGACAGCATACTTGGAAGCTGAGTAAATACTGTAGAATGGAACAGCATTCACTCCCTCGGCACTGCTAATATTGATGATATGCCCATCTCTGTTGAATTTCATCTTAGGGATCACAGATTTTGTCAACCGCAAGACACCAAAAAAGTTGGTATCAAAGATCTTTTTGATGAGTTGTTGTGGATGCGTTTCAAGGATGCCCATTAGCCCAATACCAGCATTGTTGACTGAAATAAAAACCATCATCATTATCATCATACATCAGGGGGTAAAGATATTTGTCAAGGGGTGAAACAATGAAGGACCAGAATCCAAAAAGAAAATATTGGATGTCTGGACGTGCTAGCATGCATGGYCAGCCTTCTCGATCATCACAAACGAAAAACCATTATCATTCAAATGAAGGTCTTTCGCTCCGCTGCGTCTGATAGCTATTTATCAACAATGCTTCGATCACTTAAAACAGCAGGAATGCTTCAAATACACACAATCGATGGAGAGTAAGAAATATCGTCAACACTGATAGCACGACAATCACAGTTAACACAACAGAATCGAGAATACTTACTTAAAACATCAATTCTCTCTCGTTCTGCGTAAATACTTTGCAAAAGACCAGCTACTGATTCATCCGAGGTCACATCCAGCTCYCTCACGAAAAGCGTATCGTTGAGGTATCCTTGGGCCGCGGATTCAAGGCAGTCTTTCTTTTCGAGATTTCGCATCGTTGCGTAAACTCTATAGCGTTTCTGTTGATCTTTGGCGAGCAAAACGGCTGTAGCGAGGCCTATTCCTGATGAACAGCCAGTAATTAGAACAACTCGGTTCGACATTGTGCACATGGACTACATGTATATCGACAAGCGGTGAAAGAATCAATCGCTCCTGGTAGGGACTGGGTCGGAGGGATGGAGGGCAGGGACAAATAGAAAGAAGGCAATAATGCTAAAAGTTGTACATCTTTAGTAGTTGTTGCAACGTGTTAAGAATGAAATTGAGGAACTTCCTAGGATAAAGAAAGGTGAAAAGGAACAGAAGGAAAAWGCTGGGACACAGTTTAAACTAAAAAGTCAAAGGGTCGTGGTCTTATGAAACCGTGACAGGCCCGCCCAGATCAGTAGTCGTTCTTCCCGTCTCGCGGCTAGCTGAAGTAACAAAGTTTTGCTGCAAAGAATTATCTCACGGATAATCAGGGGAATCTCAAGATTTCGGGACGTATCTCCCGTTCACCAGTTTTTCAAGGAAGTGGCCAAATTCTCATTTTCTCATCATCCAGCTTCCCCGTGTTCGCCGCAAAACAKCTACTATTTCCAAAGGCGTCCTGCTGGATCTTTTGAAGGTAAACCGAGTTCTCAGGAAATTGAGCCGGGCCGGTCAATCAGGGCACGACACCTTTATTGTAAATGCTTATAAGGCATATTCGGCACTAGAATTGTCCCGTGCAAGAAAATCCCAAAGGACAAATGTACACAACAATAGTTATTGTACTAGTATATGTACTAAAGTTTGTCTGCTACGTCACTCGTAGGACGCAGTGGCGCAGTGCGTGGAATTAACTGTAAATGGACTAGGAGCCGGTTAATTTCTCCCTCACTGGCCTGGCTTGCCGGGTTAGCACTGTAACTTGTGGCCTGCCGAGGGATAGCGAGGTTGTTGCCGAAATCTTCAGCCGTTTCGTAAATCCATGCGGTGCTTCAGCTCGAGTGTCTGGAGGCATGGTCCCGGGATTTTTTTGGGGGGGATGACGGTTCGAATCCCGTTTGGRCCATCTTTTTTTCCTTCCTTTTATGCATTGTTCGTTTGCTTTTTTTCTTTTTCTATAATTTTACTTAGTTTRTAGTTAGTAGACAATAGACATATAGATCGATAGATGAATAATCTTTATTTTGTTTGAAAGCTATTTAGCATGTTTACCAGAAGTCTATTAAACTACATGATAAATTAAAAATATAAAAAAATACAATATTTCTGCTCCCTTGCTTTTTATACTGCACTTGTCTTTAATATAGCTATTTTTGGGTTCTTGTTATTATCGCGAGCTGGTGCTACTYGTCATGAGATGCAAATCTTTTTGAAAACAATCCCATCAATCCATCGCCATTCATGTCTTTGAGTTTAGTATGCATCTCTTTTTGTCTGTAAGTCTTGTTTGACTGATAACGAAAGTGTGGATTCTTAAGCAACAAGACTTTTTTAACCAATTCTGCTATTTCCGATGGTGTTTGTGAATTATTCAATATTGTTTGATGATAAGTCATCAAAGTCTCTTTCATCAGTGCCTTAGTCTTTTCATCACTGCTAGAAAGATCAACTTGTTCACGGATGTCTTTGGCGTTAGCTGCAAACTGCGTGGAGACTGGGCCGGGTTCAATCATTGTTGTCCTGAGGAGAGAAATGTGATCTTTTAGAGATAAGAACGAATGAGTGACTATTATAGAGACTTACTTGATCTTAAACTTCTGTAGAACTGGTGCTAATGATTCTGCAAAGCCTTCAACRGCAAACTTCGATGAAGCGTAGTAGTCGCCAAACGGCAATCCCAGCATTCCATAGACGCTGCTTATATGGACAATGTGCCCACACTCCCTCGACTTCATGTTAGGGATGACCTCATTGGTCAAATGCATTAAACCGAATACGTTAGTATTGAAGATAGTTTTGATTTTGTCCATGTCTACACATTCAGCAGGAGAGAAGACAGCTACACCAGCATTATTCACTGCAAATAGAAAACTGGATGAGCTTAGTTTCGAATAGTCCAAGAAAAACCGTACATCCCAAGATCCAAATTTCAGTCACAACTAGTCTCCTCAGCAGCCTTTCCATATGTCGGGTTGCCAAGGAGGCCAACGTCAATCGTCAAGTGGGACCTCCACAGGCATCCCAAGAATATGGCGGACAAAGTTTTGTGACTAATATAAGTGCTGCGTATAAAGTGTCTCGCTGTGCGGTTCACATAATAGAAAACTAACATATAGAATTTTTTTTTGTATACCGTATAGCTCTATTTCTGCAAGTTGCTATGGAAACTATTCTGGACATTTGTCGCAATAAAATTGGAATTATTTTTTTCAAGAAATAACATCTAGTGATAGTGATCAATAGCTATCAATAATCATACCAAGGATATCTATACGTTGTTCTTTGTCGAGTATTTCTTTTATCACTGTTTTGACAGATTCTTCTTCGCAAACATCAAGTTCCTTTACAATCAAGAGTTCGCCAAGRACATCTTTCGCTGCTTCCTCTATGCCTTCCTTTTTACTAAGGTTTCTCATCGTGGCATACACTTTGAATCGTTTCTGTTCATCATTKGCTAGCAATGCAGCGATAGCAAGACCAATTCCAGTTGAGCAACCAGTGATTAAAACTATTCTTTGAGATGTATCATCACTGAATTCCTCTTGAACCACGTCCAGTGCTTTGGTTTGGTCGTGTTTGACTTSACTGTTCCTTGATGCAGCACTACCCATGGCTCAGGTTGAATTTGAAGCTTTTTGGTGAATGTAGAAGGTCTCTTCAGCCTTTGAAGTGTTTTTAGCATGCTATTAATCAAATTTTTAAAACAGTAATTGTCATGAAATAAATGCGTAAGGTGACGTCATATAGGTCATTGTTTGGGACTTGTTTGGGATGCATGACAATGTCTCTCGAAAGACTCGTGTTAAATTAATCAGAGATAATATTGAATTCGATGTTGTGCTTTATCAATATATAGTGAAAAACTTTAATTCAAATTGTTTCTTATTCGTGCACTAAAACTTTAAATTTAGACTGGTTCTTGCGCGACGTTTAGTTATTAGAACTCAAGCCTCGAGTCACGAACTATTTAGTTGTCAATGACCCACGAATGCATATATTTGTTTTGTCGCTAAGCTGTTGATGCTGTTTTTGTCAGAAAAGTCTGTTGCTTTTGGCACTGGTCTTGTTCGTTGATAGTCAGTAACTGTAGCACCCAAAGTTAGTCATGAGAGGGACAAGATCCAAGTTGATGTTATAGTAGAAAGAGCACAACACAATAGTACAGCGCACATAGACCCATAGCAACAACCCATAGCAACAACAATCACTCTTCCCCGGGGGGCCCCCGGGCACTCTTCATTCTTAAATTGACTCAGGAAAAACATGCAGAGAATTACTCTGGAACAGTAAGGGGCGCGGTAGAGGGAAATTGGGTGACTCMAGCCTCATCCTTTCTATGCTTCTTACTTTTTGGGTCGCAATTTCTTTGTTTGTATTGTTTCTCATCTATATTTAATATATTATTATACGAACATCCATTATCACTATGGTTGTAATGTACTGTAAGATAAAATTCCCTCAGTCCCCTTTTTATCACAATGTAAGACTACCGATAATAACAGACCCAACCGRTAATATGCACTCTGATATCCTAACCGGTAATATGCACTCTGAYATCCTATTCTTCTTATTTCTGGAAATCTGATATAAATTTTGATCATATAGTTGAGGTAGCTTATCGTTTACATACTTAGATATTCAGTACTTCTGCCAGTTGCTATCCTAAGTTAATGCTTTCCTAATATTAACAGCTGCTATGAAGGTTGCTTATGAAAGTTGTTTTATTAAAGCTTATTAAATCTAATGGGATTCACTAGGGATTCACTAGGGAATCTGTCTCTGGCGGGATTTTTTCAGATCGATTTTTTAGGCTGCACAATCAAACTGTTTCAGTCTCAGTGTCTGATTGGCAACCTTTTTCAATCATGTTATCGTATGGACAGTTTCTGAAATAAAAATGTTTGGTTACCGGATGATCATGTGCATTTGATAACAGTCAGATTTAGTAAAATCAAAATATTGGCACTGGTTTTTGTGAGCCTTGCATTGCCTCAATTAGGRGCCCTCTTGGGATCCCTGTGAACGAGGATATAGAGAGAGACTGCCGAGCAGGAAATAACATCTACGTCATACTGAGTGTTCAGCTCCTTATGTATGTACACCATACGTATGGCATTAAAACCCTTAAAGCATACTACGTCACAATTCATTAGCAAACTCATATTTGCATATCATTGCTCAGCTCGATTTACAATGGTCGTTTGTTAAAATAATGGTTTTCAGTTATGACAAATATATGAATATTGACATTACCAATACATTGCTAAAACCTGATTTATGATGAAGTCTGGCAACCAAAACAACATTCGTGAACAAGAACACTGGGTAATTACAAATGTTGATAATGCGAGGCTGTAGACGGAAGTGGTAAAAAGTAAAAATCCTCATGACAAAATGTCATACTTAGACAGACATAAAGTGCGTACATGACGCCAGTTACAGCCAGCATAAACAAGAAAGTTTCTCTGTAGATTGGATACATAAAGAAAGATTGATGATCTTCATCCGTTTGTTTGGGCTTGTTATTAAAGACTTTCCTCGCAGTCCCAAAACTACTCATACAAAACAAGACAATGCACAAAAGTTGCAACCAAACTCTGCAGTTTTTAAAAGTAAACAATTTCATTGCCAGAGTTAAAAGTTGGGTCGACGATCACTCATCCGCTGTTTCTTTTCTTCTMGTCCACTTTTACTGATCAGCAATGGGTTGTTGAAACGTGCTTTTGGCCGTCGGCTAAATGTCCTCAGTCTTTTTGTGTTCTTTCTGTCGTGTTCAGTCGCTATTTTGATGGTACTTACTCCGGCAAAGATACGAGTTTGTAAATGTTTTCAATTCATATCTGAACAGGACGAGTAAATWGATATATCTTTGTGCCACCTTTGATATAGCTTTCCAGACTTTTTAACCTTTCTGATTTAGTTTCACATTTTACTTTGTGAGCTTTCTTCTTTTCAGAACCGCACTGTATGCTGATAACCAATGAAATGTTTTCTCAGTCTTTTTCAATGTCGAAACAGTTGCGTGAACAACGCTCAACTAATGGTTACTTCTTGTTATTTAATTTCCTCCCATTCTGTCATTAACCGTATATACTTAATGCATTGCTACTTAATTGGCTGAGTGGTCTTATCGACGAACTGTTTTATGAGCGGACGTAGGATTTAAACAGCTAGTCGAGTTAGGAATATTTTTTCGCCCAGTCATCTGATCAAATCCCTATTTCACCATGAATTCTTATAAGTGACATTTTTCGTAAGTCTCTGAACATACGCAGATAGACTCATCCCACACTTCCCTAACAACTGATGGCGGATTTTCTCCTTGGCAAAGTCTCTTTCTGAAAAGATCTTCATTGCATAACTTTAAATTAGGGCTTTACAACTCACTCTATGCAAGTTTTTTTCAGTCAAAATTAAATTTTAAGGCTTTCTACATCCAAAAAAAGTTATAGGTATTCTTTTTAGAACATACAAGTTCGGCAAGCCTTCCGGGGCTGCAGGTGCAAAATCTGCAAAGCAAAAAATAATCACGAGACTACGAGGATTGGTAGTCTAAGCCTAAGGTTGATGAATACTAGTCTAACATCGTTTCCCTAGATTCGTAAGAGCCACAGTTTGATATATGAAAATTAGAAGAAATTTATATAATAAAGATTAGACTGTGACTACTGTGTAGAACGTGGGTTTATATGTTCTTCGCTGTTGACCGAACTTTTGCTGATGACAGCATGAGAAAATTTAAAGAAGACGAATAAAGAGAGTAAAGCCTTCGTTAATGTGTGTGCTATTGAACTGCATGACTTGGAAAAGTTAGGATGATTCCTGAGATTCTGTAAAATGGATCAATTCCTCAGACACTTGATATTATCGTATTTCACATATAATATTCCTATTTAGCCAACAAAAGTAATAAGGGAGAATACGCCAATTTAACGTCGAATATGATTTGCATTAAATCCTCGCCTCTCATTAAYTATCTACGCATRTCTTCGCCGTATTAGCTTACGTTGAGGACTTTGGCTTCATATGCTCTATTATCGTAGTTATTCTTYTCTGCTCCCAGGCGTCTAGTAGCCATGGTAACCTACGGTTTGATTTGATTTTAAAGTAACAAAAAAAATACATTTTACGACCGTTTTTTCATAAAGGTAGTAAAGAAACTTACATGTTAATGAATACACTCAGTACACATATTTGATTAAGAGCTTGAGCGGCAAAAAACGCATATGAAGCGGTTTGGACTTATTTGATTTGTTTCCTGTTGTGTATTTTTCTTTCAAAACCAATCGTCGATCAACACAACTCAACCATGCGTCAGCAAACAACAAAGTTTGTATTTATGCGAATATATGACAAGAAGGTCTAGTGGTACTGATCCTATTAAACGCTTCCGTTCAAAACCATTGGTTTGGTGTACAATACAGTCTAAATGATAATTGCCTCTCTATCGCTTGTTTTGACATTACAAAACTAAATATTGTTCTTTCTGCACGTCCAATGGCTGACGAAATGGAGTTTAATACGGCGCACGATTGTCCATTTATCAAAAGTATATCGAGTGTTGATTTATTTATTAGTGAACCTGTTGACCATACTGACACCTGAAAACCCCCTTAATAAAACACCTTCACATTAACAACCACTTGATTTCACTCGAAAAACAATAACAAAAACAAGGAATTTACTCTAATACATCCATGTATGCACTGCACTTTGGCTTTCAACCAATATTATGTTAAGGAACTTGAAAAGTGGTCTGCGATGTTATCAGTGGAAGCTTGTACATTAATCATTTATGAACTTTATGTTTTTGGAGCCAGAAAAACTAACTCAAAACCCAAGCAGGAGTCCTTTATAAATATTGAGGAGAAAAAGCAAAACAATCCTAGAAAAAGTGCAATTATTTTCGGTAAATTGGAATCATCTTGAGGTGTTTATATTCATCGTGAAAACGTTTGAAATATCGACGTTTTATGTAATTCAACCAGGCGAATTAAGAAAAAAAAAACGGCGTGTTATTTTGGTGAATTGAGTGGCCTTTGGCACCAGGCGCACTCTATATATTGAATATGTTAATGGATGGTTTCTCCTGGTATGCATTATCACATATAATAGGAAAGCCTACTTCAACGAGTCTTATTTTAATATCCGTTCAATTCATACATAATAAGACAGTACAACTTTGCCTTTCGACACATCAATGAACACCACAACGCGATCGGTTGCAATTTCACGAGATCTACAAGGTAAGTTATTCTTTTAAATAGCGAATTCAAAACAGAAAGGATAATGTGACGCCTTGAGCTAATTGTTATTTTTTTGATTCCGCAGAAATCAAAAGGGATATTTGACAAAATGAGGGAKATTGCAACGTAAAGCGACAATGATCTCAATCATTCTTCTAAGTATATTTGGTTCACTACTAGGAATTGCAATCGTCTATATGATATGCTCGCTATCAAAAACCTGCTACGAGTTACACAAAAAAGACACCGAGTATTTATCCGAACCTTTGCCTTCGTTCGGCACAGATTCGGGCGAAAAACGCTGCCAAGAGCTGATGGACCAGCCGAACAATTGTGAATCGATGGTGTAAAACATCAATGGTATAACGCAAGCTTTAATTCAAAAGTGAAAAGCTGAGGTTTCGTCTGTATGACATTTGGTATCAAATCGATGAAATGTTGTCGCAGCACAAAAAAACGAGCGATTGGCTCCATCGCGTCTACTAGAAGTGATCGTAAGATGCAGAACCAACTGGAATCTAAAAAGCAATCGCTATTTCAGAAGTGCAATCGTGCTAATGTACTTAAGGTGCTAAGTATAGAAGTTATTTTTCAATTGACGAAAAGGATGTACAAATATATGTAAGTGTTTTTAATGGTATTAGATACCACGTATCGCAACAACGAATACATATATAATACATATATATAGTTATTTACAAATAAAAGTTTATACTTTGTAACAAACTGCAATCACAACATTTGATTTCGAATGTTTATCAAGGTATTGTACACGACACGACATTCGCGCCGTTCGCAAAAGAAGGCGAGTCTTTATATATCTACACAATAACATGCTATACCATTTAATGTGAGTGCTAGACACTTAGTTGCAAACTGCATTTAGCACTTGAACTCAAGTAACTTGTGTTGTGAAGTACAAATTCCATATCATATTTTTCAGATGGAGCCAACGCCTGTCTATTTTAAGTCCAATATTTACTAAGTGATCTTTCTATAAATCATTATTTTTGCATAATTTTGCAAGGAAATAACGTGGTTGGCTAATAACTGGAATCAAAACATCAAATACTGTAAATTTGACTTTTCCTAAGTGCATCGGCATCAAGTTGTTTTTAGTGTTTCTGTAATCTTATCTTGAGCAATTCCCTGAGGCTATTTTTAATTGATGTTTTCTTTTCAAACTTTCCGCTCTTTTTAAGCGAACACCTGTCCGATCAGTAAGTACGACCGGACGGATAAAAGAAGTTCATTCTTATTTTTGTGTACATCTTTCAGGATGCTAGATGCTTCTAGAAAAACAATAATATTCATATAATAGAKGCTTTCCTTCGCTTCATTTGCTTTATTTGTAATTTTGTTTTTATTAGAGTAAGATTCRACAACTGTCATTGCCAATACGAGCAGTTGTCAAATGAAAAAGATTGGACGAAGAYTTCCAATAAGAATTTAGCATCAAATATTCACAGTGACCATTGAACAAGCTTACTTATTGATATACATTTCATTGAACTCTGCTTGAAGTTGTTAAACTTGCTTCGTTTATGATTTACAGCAAAYTTGTATTGATTAATAATTCCTTTATGAAAAAAAGTCGGCCGAAAAGTATGCTGTTGATATAGTTGCCGCCCTGCGAGCAGAGGACCTTTCCACTGACCAACATAGACACAGATGACGAATGATAAATGACTATGTAATGATGCTGATGATAATAATCATGTTGCTGGTAATAATGATTGATAACTGTGGTGTGTTGTGATACCTATTTGATAAATATTTCATTAATTATTTAAATTCTTCATCTCTTTTTTTCACATCGATGCTAATTTTTTATCAAGTTTTAACCAGTGATTATTTATTGATGATCAAATTATCCTTAAAATCAATAATTGCGCAGTTAGTTTTGTTTATTATACCTTTGCCACTATTCAGTTTCTCCATTATTGGTTCAACTGATTGGTCCAAATTAGGAAACGCAGTTTGAATAGAAGCGAACACTCTTGATTGACTGACTAGTAAATGCTGAGCATGATTCATTATCTAATCTATAATTTCTTATCTTTGTCATTCCTTCAAGAGTCAATTCATTGAGTCATTTCTATGTACATGAGGAGAATGAAGTATTTTGAAGCGGTTCCTGATCTTTGTTACAATCATTCCTTACTGAAGAAATCCGCTTGTAAATCTGCAGAAACGAGGGATAACTGGCCGTCTTAAGCTTGATAGAAAGCTTTGGTCTGGTACTTTCCTCGCTATAAACATAGATTAGTAGATAATCTAAAATGGTTGGCAATCAAGAAACCTATTATTTCACTGAAAGCAATTATGCGCAAGACATTAGCATCAGTCAAAGTYGTGAACCATTTATACTTTATTTTTCCATTTTCCATTCCAATGTCAGCTTTTTTCTTCTTAAGGTTTCAAAATATTTTCTAAAACAAATTACGCTAAAGATATTACGATCATATTGCTCAGATTAAGTTWGCTTCAGGCCAGTATGCATCATCCGATTAAAAACAGATATAGGGATAGGACTAAAAGCTAATTATTACAAAATGAATGCTATTATTCTATACAGATATCGCAAATAGTACAGCCGGGGATGATAAACAAACGTTCAGTGTCGGATCCAGGACGTTACAAAGTGGGATGRCTAGCTTAACAAAAATAATATACACGGATAGATTTAAAGCCACGGAAAGGGATTTTTTTCAGACGAACGCTGCTTAGTTGTTTTTTTTTTTTTGGGGGGGGGAGAGAGATTTAAAATCCTTAAATTTCTATATTTTCTTATCCCTAAAAAGAGGGTGTCTAGCCACCCATACAGCTCTGAAGTACTGATTGCTACGTGTGGCCGCTTAATTGATTTTCGAAATACAAACCAACTGATAGGAAATACTCTTTTTGAATAAAAGCTATTAATTTTACCTGCAGTACAGCGTTCAGTCTATGACGTCAAAAGGAAGTACTTCCAGGTTTTAAAGTACATCATACTGAAATGCACTTAGTTACTGCTTAGGTAGATTGCTTTAAAAGCAATTAGGAAGAATGGAGAGGTGAAGAACGGAAAAATCGATTCCTGTTACTGCCTTATCACAGTAAGAACTAATGTGGTTATCTCGAAATTTGTCTGCTGTAAACAATTTTGKTTACCTCTGTTTTGGTTACGAAGCCGGGAAAACTTTAAAAAAACTGGACGCGGTCGAACATCGGGTTTTATTCCGCTAACGATGTATAAAAACACTCCATAAGAACTCKAGTTTTTATTGCAAATGGTTTTAATGGGATAAACATAGACATGATGTATTTTTCTATTTCTAAATTATATTACTAAAAGTGTGCAATACTCTGCACTATTAATTAATAGTAGTGCTAACTGAAAACATTAAAATAAGAAAGACATTATTTATTGGTAACATGGTGCTCACATCTTTCAATGGAAAAAGAGATTTGTCTATTTATACAGTTATCAGTTTGCTGAAGTCATAAAAGAGTCATAGCTTTGTCTATTTATATTGTTATCAATTTGTTCAAGTCATTGTGCTTGTATGCATGCACTACAACAATCCTTTTATTACAAGCATAAAGTGCTTCGTGGTCTAATCAACAAAAGATAAACTCAATAGTAATTAAATTGAAGCAGATAGCATGATGACATCATTTCATCAGACTATCAGAATGGCACATGTTTTCATTGTTATGCTAGCTGGGTAATAATTCCCTCGGGATGGCACATAACACAAGAAAACAAGCAATGCACTCTGGGAGGTAATGTATAGGATATTATCAGTCGTGTAGTATTAATATATTAGATGATACTGTATGCAATAATCAGAACACAGAAGTTCTATGGACCACCAGCAAGTTTGAAAGTGTAAAGTATGTTGTTTGTTTGGTTGATGAGACGATTAGCACTGACATATACTGCATCAGCCCTGAAATCAAACAATGATGAGTAACGGTTACTTATATTAATGATATGGATTGAGATTATTGTAATTATGTTGATGATGGTCATGTTGATGATAGTCATGTTGATGATAGTCATGTTGATGATTATCCACTAAGACAGTTTTGTGGGTTGCCTTGCCAATGCAACCTTTAGAGACTCTATGTATAATGTTTTGCCTAAAAACCCTAGAGACAAGGTGGCAAACCATTTGTCTGAAATAAGCCAGAATATTTATCTCCTTGACTATGATGATGATGTATATTTTCAATCATTGTTCAGAAGACAGTCTGATTTAATGTACTTACTTGCCATCTTTGAAGTACTGCTTGAGGGTGTCACTGAAGCTTTTGGAATATTTGACAAACTCTTTCTTGTTGTGTTCTAACACCTGAATATTGACAATGACTTTGTATAAACTAGTTAACATATCACTAACACCATCATCAATAACCTTGTTAATAATCCTCTGATGGCATTATGTGTGTCACATGGTTCATCTCACCAATGTCATTATGAGAGGACCATCGTCCAACCATGACTGCTATCATCAAAACTTTTATCATTATCAAACCCATTTTGTCAGTAGCAGTCACGACTATCATGTTTACTCACCCGTTTATACTGAGGCATTTTGCCAACACTTTGACAGTTCTTTAAGACTTCATTAACGGCATCCAGAAGGTCTTTGATTGCACTAGCAATATCCCTGTATAATGTGAAAACACCCCAATATAAGCACTGAAGTATTATAAAGACTCTCAACCCCTTTTATGACAGGGAAACTGCGGCCAGTCTCAGCTCATATCTATACAGTAAACTGATATCACAGTCCAAAGACTTTGAATGAGCATCATAACTAAATACTATGGTACATTAGACAGACAATCTTGAAGCCTAAAAAAATACCTACTTAATAGTCTGAAGAAACTTTGATCTGTCACCAATTTCRGATGGAATCTTGGACAATATTCTTTTTAAAGCTTATAAGTAGAAATGCAACCATTAAAAATAGAATCAACTGCAAAAATTTAAAATATGACATGCATGCAGCAAGAGGTTTAAGATGTCATTTATGATTTCTTAGATATTCCCCAGCAAAATTCAGTTGGTGGAAGTCCTTGTTTTAACCAGTATATGTACATGTTTTAATGATGATAAATAGTGTTTATACCTCTTGCTTTAGTAGTAAGTGTAACAAATTCCTTTTCTTGTCTTGTTGTAGCATATTCTTGTAAATCAAAAGGAAACCAATAAGAAAATCATGCAACAGAAACTAATAAGCAATAATTTCATTCTACAATAGTCAGCATTTCTTGCACRCGCATGCRCACACATACAMAAAAAWAATAATGATGTCATCATGACAGTGATGTCATCATATCGATGATGTCATATGTCCTTACCATCTGATTCRTATGATGCACAGCTGAGTAGGGCTTTGTTCATATTAACTTTGAGAGATTCTAATAAAGATGAAGGATAGTGGTTAGTCAATGAATAGATTCAGATAGCAAGCAAATATAAGTAACCTCTTCATAATGCTCATATATTACATAATCATCGAAAAATGTTAGAACAATGCATAAATTGAGAAGTGTTTTCCTTGGTGATTGCAAACAGCCATTTTGCCATTCTTTCACAAAATACAGTATTTGTGTAAAAAATTTACAGTAGCAGCATAACAAACCATGACTCTAATTTCTAATATAAATATGACAATCAGAGGTATTTTTATTGTATTTTTAATATTCTACAAAGAAATTTAAARCACCTTTCTTTAAAATCCCACCAACTATCTCTTGTGTTATTCCAGGATTTTCCATTTCAGCCTTGAAAATATAATATTTAATATGAAAAATAACAAGAAAGTAATCACAATGACAACATGCTTGATATATKTACCTTTTGAAAGGCTGTCTTAATCCTTTGTATGGCTTCTCCATCAGGATATTCTARAATTATCTGAAAAAAAATTGAAATGAAAACATGGACACAATAAAGTAAATCCCAAATGKCTATTTGTACTTCTTTTAAGTTTCTGTAAGTGGACCTGTCTGGGAAAATATCTGATTGGTATTGAAAAGAAGATCTGTTACTTGAAAAGCAGCTTCATATCAAAAAGCCATTGTCTTGTTTTTTTTTCCAAAGGATGAGCATGCACTTTATGTTATAATATTTGTTTGTTTCAAGACCGCTTTTTTCATAGATGGACAGCTCTACCATTGGAAATCTTTTTGTGATTTCCCTAAGCAATCCATTTAGGCAAGATTAKAATACTGTATTGATGTCTATGTCAACAAGATGGTAATTAGTCCAGTCAGCCAAATCTAGGGTTAAGGTTGCTTGTACCAACTCAGTTTAGTTTAACCTCATTATTGTCATCCATTAGCCCTTGATGCCTGTCACTTTACCCAGATATGTAGATGATAGGACAGTCCTATAACACTGGCCATAGAAGATTCTCGCTACTCTTCTCTTAGACCACATTTACTATGATGCATAGACCTTCACCTAACTTGAATTCTCTGGATGACTGTGTCGCTCTCAAAAGAACAATATTTCAAACACATCTGTCTTGTGTTTTGGTTAATTTGTTTTGAACAAACCAATTGACTATATCTATCTGGTGAAAACCCACCCACTACAATCCGTACAGTGTACAGCAATGGTACCCACAGCATGATTTTCATACGGGCCTAGATCCGACACTAACAGTTTTTGGAGCGGAAAGCATTAGCGTTGTACCCAGGCCCATCTGAAAATCATCAGGCTATGATACCTAACCCATAAAATACATACTATTATACGGCAGTAAGTAGATCAAAAATAAAATGTCCACCAAGCGTTCAATGCATGTAAGTATATGAAGTTCAACTGTCCTTAGTGGAAAATGTATCAGATTTCATGAAATCCAATTGTCATATAATTTACGTCAAAATAAAATATGCCATGGATTTTACATTTTACTTTGCAAATTACCCAAAAAGGGTCGAAAATGCAAATACCAGAAAGGATCGAAATAATAAATGTCGACATAAAAAAATATCAGCTTAACTTAATTCAAGAAATCGTTTGCTGAATAACAAAAACAAAGCAAATTCGATTTAAAATATTCAGCCATTGAAATCAACACCAAAACTCATTTCAAAATTGATAATTTGTTATAGAATGTAAAACATTGATGTCATYGAAATGTATGAACTCGATTTTCTTTACGAAAGTTTCGTTCTCAAAGTGAGTATAAGCTTACCTCTTCAATCACAGGGCCAAGGACGACGCTTAGAGCCAAGTTTGGTATAATAGTCCCTTCTTCAAACTCTGTAGCCATAATAGACAATATTACAGAAGTAAAACCGCTAAGAATTGATATAATTATATCAATTTAACTAATAACTTTAAGACTTCGCAACTCGCCATATTTATATTTTTAAAATTTAATTCTTTGGCTTGGCAACCAGGCSTTAAAAGGGAGTGATCACCACAGGAAACCCATGAATATAACAGATGCTATTTTCATGTATTTTTCAATTCATTTTTGATTAAAAAATTATAGCCAGTTGAGCCTTAGATTGAAACCATAGATTCGATGAACATTCAGTCATTAAGTTGTGGATGATCACACTTCAAGTTCGGGGGCAGATCCATATTATTTTCAGAGATTATTGTGGAATGATAAACAGCTCACTTTGCATTAATAAAAGGTATTGCATCTTGCTAAAAAATATAGTCTTATCATTCTCAATATCCACAAACAGTAAAAACAATATTCTCAGGCCTTGAATATATGATGACAAAAACTACCTGAATAGAAGACATGCAGGCATTAGTTACAACAAAGCTGCATACCATCGCATACCATTATTTTTAGATAGAGCTGGTTGGTTATATTAGCTAAGGATCTAAATTGCAGTGATATGAACAACAGTCTAAGAGATCATGTMATTCAGAGTCTAAAACATGGTAGTTGCTAAAGYGCTTAAAAWGACCAAGGCTGCAAAATTTACTAAAAGAAAAGCTTCTACTAAATCCAGGGTACAATGTATTATGGGACTTGTGACTTTGGAAACACTTTGCGAAGACAAAGACAAAAGAAGACAACAACAACSCAAAGAATTAGAAAAATATTTAATAAATATTAATTATATATGTGAAACTGTTTTTTTTCTAGATAGATCATTTCTCTCTAAACAACAAATCTGATCAATGAATATCAACACTTACTCACTTATAATACCTAAATTGCACAATGCTTCTACAATACATGAACAGATGAACYTAATTTGTTTGTTTTCATACTGTTATTTGTTTAATATTTGATGACCAATTTTTGGTCTTAACCTCTGATTTGCAAAAAAAGCAGAAGGCCCTTTATTAACTGTAATAACTTCAGTAGCTTTGTCAATTGGTCTACTAAGGCCATCTAAATTGCTGTCTATAACACTTTGCATAATTCTCTCAAGACGCACAAATTTCCATACTGATAACATCCTGTATTGACTGACATTAATGCTTTATGCCTGAATTATACATGTACACTGTATATGTCTTAACAACAATGTTGGTAAAATGYGCAGCAGTACCGAATAGCTATTTGTCTGGCTTAACAGTCTACTTTTATGATGCAATAGATAAAGGAGTTAAGCTACCGATACCTAAAAAAGTACCTGTATTTATAACATAATTTAGCTGATGACAAGAAGCCTTCATTCAAGTTTTGTTATTTCATCAAATCACAATCTTTGTGTACATCCCAAGTTGATGTAAAGGTACTGTTGTTTTTACTTCACAACTATTCCATTTTGTTGGTACCAATTTCTCCTGTCTTTAGAATGTGTAGATTCGTCATTTTTGTTTTTAGGTAACTAGCAATGTTTAAATCACAAAATCAACTCTTAACAGCATTTGGTCATTATCTCCACAGACGACATGTGTTGTCTTTGCTTCCTGTGTAAAAAAAAAAAAAAACAAAAACAACGGTAATCATATGAGATAATATTGAGTGTAATAAATTGCATTTTCTTAGCAATGATAACCATAGTTAACTATTTAATACCTGTTATGACTATATTGCCATCATAGTTAAATGCACAACTGAAGATTTCATCAGAATGTCCCTCAAGAACCTGTAAATATAATTATTTTATATATTTTATTTGTTGCCAGACTGATGATTGTTGTTTAGTGTTTTTACCTGAGTACAGTTACCAGTCTGTGGGTCCCAAAGCCTCGCCGTCTTATCGCTGCTTGCTGTCAAAAGTCTGGTTCCTTGTGGATTAAATGTGATCTATTGAAAGAATGACATTTATTAGCAATGGCTTAGTTGTCACAATTCCCTGAAAAAAATAATACACAATAGCTGCTTAAATAACAGAAATGATCCTGGCATACCTTTGAGATTTCTCCTTCATGACCTTCAAGCTTTGACAAACAGTGATGATTGACAGCATTATAAACTCTGCCTGTACCTATAACAGTATATCATTTTTATTGTTTTTTTTTCATGGATGAATAACACCCCCATACTTTTCATCACTGTTAAAATGACCTTCACATTAATTCAGCCACATTTTGGTGGCCAAATTAACAAGGTTGTACATTGTTATAGTAAATAGAGCAGATGTTGGTACTGAATATGGATGCATGACAAGCTGTGGTGGACGAGATACAAACATCAGATTGAGTAGACTCAAAGTACACATTAAACTCATTTACCATCAGCAGCAGCTGTTGCTATGTATTGTCCAGTGTAGTCAAAACAAACATCAAGTACTTCATCATCATGACCCCTACAAAACATATACAAAAAYGCACSAATAAGCAYTGAAAACATGGATATATCAACACAAATCTAAAGTGTTTAATTTGYTTATACCTCAATGTGCCAACACACTTTCCTGTGCCAGCATCCCATATCTTGCATGTTTTGTCCTTGAAAACAAATACAAAACAAGGGTTTAGTCATCAGACAATAGAACTGTACTGTTATCATACAAGAGAAATCACCTTGATTTCTATTTTGCATAAAGAAATATAATTATYAGTATTCTGAATTATCAAACTATGGTGACAAATACGTTACCATTGAGCCAGTGACTATCAAAGAACAATCAAAGTTAAACTGTGCATTGGATATTTCTCCTCTGTGACCAATAAGAGTATGGATACGTCTACAAAACACAATCATACATGTACATCAATATATCATTACAATTATAATAGTAGGACTAACTGCTGAGTATAATGATACTAACCTTCCACTTCTAGTGTCCCATACACTGACGGTATGGTCAAAGGAGCCAGTTAACAATTGATTACCAACAGAGTTAAAAGAACATGAAATGATCTCTGCTGAATGTCCCTARAACAAATAAATTAGTAAAGCATATCATAAAATAAACAATGAAGACAGTTAAACAAATTAACTTACAGATAATGTAGATATTTCTGCGCCTGTTTCTATGTCCCATAGTTTAGCTGTAGTATCCATACTACCAGTAGCAATTATTGTACTTTGAGGGTTAAATGCCAAACAAACCTAAGGAGAAACACATTTCTAGTCATCAAATTGGAGTTGGTAGATTGTTTTGATGTTAAAATGTATTTGACTTACAATTTCTGCATTATGTCCCCTATACGTGTGATAGCATTTCCCTGTCTCTGCACTCCACAGCTATAAAATATTGACACATTTTTACTTAATAAAYTAAAACGTAACAGCAGTATAACACTGATATACATACTCTACATGTCTTGTCAAATGATCCTGTGGCTATTTTATCTCTGAAATATCAAGAGAAGTTAATCATCAGAACAGTGAGTGATTAACAGATGACACTAGTGATTGGCAGATTGTCTACTGATGGCCAGATGATACCTATTAGAAATTAATATAAGTGCTTGACAGATCATAATAGTGATTTCAACATGACAGTAGTGATTGACAGATGGTACTATTTTATCGTATAGTAATACATCCTACCCATAAGGATTATTGAATGCAATGGCATAGACTACATTTTTATGYCCTTCTAAAGTGTACAATTCCTCTCCTGATGCTGTGTCCCAAACTTTGCATGTTCTGTCATAACTACCAGTTATAAAACTATGGAAAAAAATAAAATTTGTTTACCAATTGATTCATAGATCAATAAATAACTAGGCCAATCAACACTAAAAGAATAAASACAAACCTTGTACCAGACTTGTTAAATGCTACATTTGTAAGAGGCAGAATGTGAGCTCTCAATATCTAAAAACATGAAAAACATTSATGTTCATATTGATGTCAAATAATAATATAATCTAAATTACACGCTTACCTTGAACAAATAAAAATGATGATCATCTCTTTCCARCTGTTTTTCTTGCAGTCCTAACATTRATATTAAGGTAACAACAACAACGACTACTAACAAACAGAAAATTATTCACATATGATTATGCATCGGATACGAATRATGAGCTTGCGAACTTGATCCAGTCTTGATGGAGTAATTAGTGGTTCTTTTGCTGAGATGTTATCAAGCACAGCGTCAACATCAGTACTGCAAACAAACAAAGCATTTTTCCATATGATAGAAGAATATATTTCTTAGGAAGTGGTATATTGTATGCAAATACCTTGGTTTTAGATCCAGCAGATCAATGGATTTAGACTTTGTAACTCCAGATTGTTCATACTCTAGTATGATTCCTGATAAATAAYAACAGATTTGAGAAAGTAGCTTTTCATTTATCTTACTATAACATAAGTGYTACAAATTACATGCTGTGCATGGCGTCTAATACACATATCTTACTCGTGTAAAAAGAGCAAAATATATATTAAAAGCTATAGGACCGTAATGTCTTCCTGGTATGATACCAAAATGTCAAATAACAACACAAAACATCTGAGTATGAGTAACTAAGTTTTGTTATTTACTACATTATCACCGATGCTAAATTCTTAAAATAATAACAAAAAAATTTAGAATTTAAAATTTAGTTTTTTTAATTTAAATAAGAAAATGGTTTAGTACACCACCACCCATGGATCCACAACAAAGRCAATACACAATTTCCACCAAGCACGATATCTCCTTAATCTYGGCAATAATATTAATGTCTTTACTGATTTAACACAAACTTCGACAATTGTATTATTACTTGAATTATTTCTTATGCTCAGCCGTATCATCATTCTAGGAAAAGAAAGTCAAACACGAGACATAGCAACAGCAAGTTGTAACCCGAAACTGACAATACCGAATAAATATTGCTATTTGATGTATTGAATAATGTGATATCATACTAACCTGGA